TTGAGCTCAGAGGTTTTTTTCCTAATGCATTAGGGTTGTGGAAAATGACATTTATTTCTCCTCTTGGGCCCAGCAGCCGAATCTAGAGTAATCTCATTCAATTCAAAAGACATTTATAGAGCGTTTGCTCTTTGTAAGATGCTTTCCTTGGTCCTTATGCTCTGTAACAATGGCTGGAATACTACTGTACTAAAACAGCAACAGTAACAATCTGTAACAAGGAAAGACACATTAACAGAATATATAAGTATGTAAGTTGAAAGAGATCACATGGTGGTGTGGCCTTGCGGAGCTAGAGGAGATGGGGTAGGGGTGGGGTGGGGTTATATACGGGGAATACACTTGACTGTTTTTGAGAAACGTCAAGTCATCTGTCAGACTAAGCCAAGAAGCCAAGAGTTAACTAAGACTGAAAAGGTAAGTTGAGGGCCTACAGTAGAAGATCATAGTAAAAAGTTTATTCTTAAATCGGTGGACAGTGGGAGCCATTGAGTGCTGAGGTGGGGAATGATACCATTTGAGCCTGCAGGACTGGGGAGGACAGATGGAAACTGGGGAGGGATGGAGGGGAAAGGACCAGTTACAAAGCTACTGCAGCCATTCTGGGCTCAGAAGAGACTCGGGGTATTAGGAGGGCATATATGAGGAGAGACACATGGAGACAGGCATTGTGAGACTTGAAACTTTAGGGATGAGAGAGGGGATAAAGCTGACTCAGGTTTGCAAACCTAGATCCTGGGGAGAGAACAGGGAGCCACAAAAGAAAGAAATGTCAACAAGTGTCAAGAAGTTACCAACTCAGAGGAGGAGGCATCACCCATTGGCTCGTCAGTGGAGCGCATGGTGTATAAACACATGCTTCTCCTCCTTTTAGCAAGATTGCCTTGACAACAGTGAGCGTCGTACTGAGGTGACAAATCCCACAGGATGGCTTGGCCATAATTTTGTGAGTATGCACACAGAGATATACAGTTGACCCTCAAACCGTGCAGCGCTTAGGGGCTCCGACTCTGCACGGTGGAACATCCATGCATAACTTGATAGCTGGTCCTTCTGATTGGCAGTTCCCGATCTGCAGATTCAGCCAACCAAGGACCACATAGTACCTATTTATTGAAAAAAATCCACATGTAAGTGGACCTGTGTATCTCAAACCTGTGCTGTTCAAGGGTGAACTGTAGACCTAAGAGAATTGACGTTCCTGTGAAAACTTACATGTGAATGTTCATAGTGGCATCGTTCATACTAGCCCCAAAGTGGAAGCAGCGCACACAGCCATCACCTGGTGGAAGGATACACAGAAGGGTCAGGTGGAGATGAGGCTCACCGGTGCCTTGAAGGGAGACACCAGAGAATATGCATCCATGTTGTTCCAACAACTTGAGAGGAAGTGGATGGGGGCTGGAAGAATGCGAGAAGACCTTGTGAAATGGAGAGAATCGCACTGAGGTCTAGGAGAGTTAAAGCTGGAAAGTTCTAGAAGAAGGCCAGTAAATTGCATTTCCAGGCAGAGCAAGAGCTGGGGCAAAGCCCTGAAGGTAGGAAAGCTGGTAGGATGCGCAGAGGATGGGGAGCAGAGGTGCTTACAGAAGGAGCGCTGGGGATGGTGAGTGGTGGGAGGTGGACTCGATGGCCCCCTATCCAGGACTGGGGCATCTGGTGGACATCCGGTCCCAGCACTCACCACTCTCCTGTCTTGTTGGGGAGGAGTGGGTGTGAGATCTGTTGGCCTAATTTTAGCCCCATCGTCCTTTCAGACCACAGGACCCTTCCCCTGACCCGGGCCCCTTGGCCAGGCCAGCAGAGCCCATGCACGTGGCCTCCTTCTATGTGTTCCTGGTGTGAGACACTGCCCTCCCCTAGATGGGAAATCCTGCAGAGCCCTCCCCACCTGCCCTGCCTGGCAGGGGGCTGGTGTGTGGCCCCTTCAGGTCCTGGAAGTCTGGGTCTTGTTGTTTTCATGCCCTAGAAGACCTCAGAAGGGAGAGCTTCTAACTCCCAGTGGCATTTAGCTTCGCTCTTTAAACATCTGGGTCACAGATATGCTTGGTTAATTAATGTTCTTAGCACTACTCATTTGCCTGCTGGATAATAGATTGATTCATAATTTCAATAAGCAGCTGTGTATATCTTTCCCCTGAACATAAAGGCAGCTTGCTGTCATTCATCACTTTGCATTTGGTGAATTTAAATATATTCAGAGAGACGTTGTCGAGGGAGGGGTGGGGAAGGGCTTCTGATTTTCTTACCACTTTGCCTGTAACAATTACTCTGATTTGGAACTAATTTGGATTTAAAGCACATGTTAACAGCATTTCTCTCAAGGGCATTTAATAAACTCCCTGTCACTTGTTTCCAAGGGTACCAGGCAAGCTTGCTTTGGGGATCAGAGCAGAGGAGAGAGAGCCCCTAAGGAGGATCTTATGCCCCGGAAAAGAAGCACCTGTGTCCCTGAGCAGAGCTCCTTTTTGCTCCATCCCTGGCCAGGAATGCCCAGGCTCTCAGGAGCCCAGGGTCGTCGGAAAGGAGGGTGCTCCGCTACTCAGCTGCTGGGCAAGGGCTGCCAACCTTCGGGTCCTGGGGATAGAGGCCAGGACCTGGCCAGGTGACCTGATGTCTTCATGCCTCAGTTTCCTCTTCTTTAAAAATGGGGACAGTAATAGTACCTTTCTTACAGGGTTATTGTAAAAATGATGTTATTTATTCTTTGTACCATGCTTCGAAATGATGCAGGAGGTACCACCCATACACACTGACTGGTAATACTATTTTGGGATTGGTTAAGCATCCGTTGTATATTAACGATCATCACTTCTGCTCCAGTTACCTCATAGGATCAGGAGAATGAACAGGAAGTCTGTGCTCGCCTCTGACGTTACCCCCACCAGTCTACACTGGAACCATCTCAGTGGGAACACAGCCCCATCCTTGTATTCCCAAAAGTCTATCCCCAGGCTGGACACCCAGAGGACTCTTCAAAATACGTTTGTGGAGTTTAAGGGAATAGCTGTGGCTGCATTTCGTAAATGATGGCATTCAGCACATGTATAATGTGCTCATTCACAAACATGTTTGGAGCCCTCAGTCTGTGATTATCTCTTAGGAGGCAATGAAGTAGATTAGACCCAGTCCCTGCCCCTTAAAGGAGTGGGAAAGACAGGTGAATGTATTTGTTCAAAAGTTGGAATACAGGGTTTTAAACAACATGTGCAGAAGGGAGACGCCAAGACACCAAACCAGTATGGACTCACACCTAGTTGTGAGAAGGGTTGGCAGGCAACACCATCTCTGTATCAGTTAGCTGTTGCTGCATGACAACCACCCCCAAATTTAGTGGCATGAAACAATATGCATTTATTATTGCTTACAAGTCTACAGGTCAGTTGGATGGTTCTGTGATCTGGACCAGGCTCAGATGATTTTGGTTGGATTCATTCATGCATCTCCCGTTGGCCAACCGGTGGGCTGAGGGCTACCTGATCTATGATGACCTCATCCACTTGTCTGGTGTTTGACTGGTTGGTTGGTTGGACCACATGTCTACCACCCTCTAGTGGGCCATTCTGGGCTGACTGCCACAGTGGCAGCAGGGTTCCAAGAGGTAAAAAATATGCCAGGTGTATTCCAAGGCACAGACACATCCTCCTTTCTGCTACGTTCTGTTGGCCAAAGCCAGTCACAAGGCCAACCAATATGCAAGGGCAAGGAAACAGACTCCACTTCGATGGAAGTTGCTGCAAAGACATATTGTCCCAGGTACAGAAAGGAGAGTGAAGGATGTGGCCGTTTGAGGGATCTACCACAATCTCCTAGCATTCATTGCAGGACATACAGCAGAGAGCAAGTACCAGGACTGGGTTGTACAATTAGGATGTTTCTGCCTTTTCATCATTAGAAATCACATTGCAATAAAAAACCTGTATGTAAACTTTTTTTCCCTCCGGTTTTATTGATATAATTGACACATGGCACTGTATAAGTCTAAGGTGTTCAGCGTGATGATCTGACTTACATGCATCATGAAACGACTGTCCCTGTGAGTTTAGTGAGCATCCATCATCTCCTATGGATACAAAATTAAAGAAACAGAAGGAGACATTTTTTTTTCTTGTGATAAGAACTCTTAGGATTCACTGTCTTAACAAGTTTCCTGTATAACATACAGCTGTGTTCATTCTATTTATCATGTTGTACATTACATCCCTAGTAACTGGAAGTCTTTGCCTTTTGACTGCCTTCATCCAGTGCCCCCACCCCCACCCCTTATGTAAACCTTTGCCCACTATGCTAATTATTTCCTTAGGATAGATTTTTTAATGTAGATTTATTGGGTCAAAGAAGAAGAACATTTTAAAAGCACAGAGTTTGTATTTTGAAATTCCTTTCTGAAAGGTTGTAGTAATTTACCCTCCCTCCAGCCCCATCGTAGGCTCAACTTGACAAAATACAAATCATCTCTTTTTTTTTCAAATGTAGTTTCTTGTTGTTTTGGTTCTTTATTTTAATACCTAGGAGGCTGAACACTTTTTAATACATTTGTTTCTTCTTCAGTGAACTGCCTCTTTGGGCCCTGTGTAGGAGGGCAGATTTAATTAATCTCAGTTTACAAATGAGGAGGAAATGGAGGCTCAGAGAGGTTTGGTGACTTGTTCAAGGTGGCCGCGCCCTCTGGAAGCAGAAACCAGTTGTCCCACTTTTTCATTTATTCCTTCTCGCCCTGTTGCTGAACAGGTCAGACTCCCGAAACATTGACCAAGGAGAGGTTTAGGATACTGGAGAGTGGCCCCAGGGAATCTGTATCCAAGCTTAGGAAGCTGGAGGGCTTCCTGGGCAGGGCGCCCTGTGAGTTGGGTGCGTGTTGGGGTGCGTGATGGGCCTGCGAAGGTGGCCAGGACTGCAGCCCGCACAGGGGCACGGGTGACCCTTGCAGGTCTGAGCCACGTCTCCCCTCGTGGTCTCATTGCCGCCTCCCACGCCCCCTGTTCTTGGTCTCTCCCCAGCTGGCCCGCTACACCAAGGAGGGCTTCCTGCACCTGGGAGCCCTGGGGACCACCACACTCCTCCCCGACACCCGCTGCCTGGTGGACAACTCCAAGAGTCGGCTGCCCCAGCTCCTGGACTGCGACAAGGTCAAGAGCAGCCTGTACAAGCGCTGGAACTTCATCCAGGTGAGTGCTCCGCGGACGGGGCCAGCCGCCCAGAGCAGGTGAGGATGCTGCGGGCCCACGGGCCCGGCTCCCCACGGAGGGGCACCCGGCCAAGTGCAACCTAAGGTCTCCCGGCCCGGGGCCAGGCACCTGGACCCCAGTCACGGTCAGGGGGATTTGCCGGGGCACTTCCCTGTGAGACCGCCTTCGGGGTCCCTGTAGCCGCAGTGCTAGGCTGGGCTGGGCTCTGATACATCTCGGGGGTGGGGGAGCAGTGGGGAGTGATTTTCCTGGAATCTTCTAAGTGCCAGTGGGATTGAGAAAGTCAGGTTGCGAACCCTCCGGCCATTCCCCACCCGGACAGCATCCCCCACCAGTGCCCACCCCCTGGTGCAGCCACTCAGACTTGGGGAAGCTTATTTTCTGACCTCAGGGTTTCCAGAGAAGGCGGGATGACCCCTCCCTCTGTGCGAAGAATTGCGGTGGGCTGTTCGCAGTGTGCTGGCACTGCGTTGGTGACACCTCTCTCTCCCTCCCCCTTTCCCTGTCTCTGTCTCTCCGTCTCTCCCTGTCTCTGTCTCTCTATGCCTGTCTCTGTTTCTCCCTGCCTCTCTCATCCTCTGTCTTTCTCTGTCTCGCCCTCTGTCTCTGTCTCTCTCTCTGTTTCTCTGTCCTTATCTCTGTCTCTCTCTGTCTGTGTTTCTGCCTCTGTCTCTCTGTCTGTCTGTCTGTCTGTCTCTCTCCTCCCTCTCACCCCTCTCCTCCCAGAACGGTGCCATCATGAACAAGGGCACAGGACGCTGCCTGGAGGTGGAGAACCGCGGCCTGGCTGGCATCGACCTCATCCTCCGCAGCTGCACAGGGCAGAGGTGGACGATTAAGAACTCCATCAAGTAGTGGGATTGGGAGGAGCTGGGGCCGTTGCTGCCCGGCCCCTGGGACAGGGTCTGCCGTCCTCTGGACCAGCCACGCTGGGAGAGAGCCAGCACGGAGCCGGCAGGGCTTCTCCAGGACAGCCCCGGGCCCCAGATGGAGGCTCCGTGTCCCCATCAGGCATCCAGCTGCCTGAGGCTCGTGCACCTGGCAAAGCCCCCCAGCCCTTCTCTGGGAACCCAGGTGCCATGTCTTCTGCAGCCCAGATGTGGACCTGGTACCAAGGAGTGACATCCATCTCCTCCTGGTCATCTTCCCACCCACTACAGGGACTGGGATTGGCAGGGGCCCCTCCTTTCTCTCATCTCTTGCAGCAGCAGCAGCTTCTGAATTCCACCCCAGCCCTTGACAAAGGTGGGGGCAGGGTTCTGCCACCTCCAAGCTCCCCCTCCAAGGAGGAGACAGTGAGGCCCTGAGGCAGTTTCCCCCGAGGTTGCTTCTGCCCAGATACCCGTTCACAGCCCAAGATCACTGCCCCCAAACCTTTCCAGCAGGTGGCCTTGGGCTTTTCTGGAGCCACCCCCCACAGATGACGTGGAAGGAGCTGACGCTTCCACGGTCACCTGGGCACCAGGCTCCCATGTTCCTGGACCAGCTCTTCCACCTGTGTGGGAGGGGGGAGCACGCAGAATGGTCTCAGCTGTGAGGGGCCCGTGCCGCTCTGCCTGCCCGGGACCGGGGAGTCCAGACTCACAGCTGCCACAGAGGGGGCAGCGAGCAGCCCCCACCTGGCGCCTAAGGACTGACATCGGCACGACACAGGCGGCCAGGACCCCGGAGGGCGCTTGTCCCGTGTCCCCCGTGCTCTGCTGGCTGACTGGGGAGAAGGCAGTCGAGTCCTCTCTGAAGAGTAATAATTTTTTTCCGATTGCCCTCTGGTTAGGGTGCACTTATAAATCAGAGTTAATATATGGACGCGTGTGCATGCGTAGGAGGGCGGGTGCCCGCGTGGTGCGCGAGTGCGGCACTGCCTGTGTGTGTGTGTGCGTGCGTGGCGTGTGTCTGGGTTGCGCGTCAGAGTGCATGATGGAGCAGACGTAGGGGAGTGGCCTTGAGCTGTGGCTTTATTGCTCGCCAGGCTCGGGACGAGGCTGCTGAGAAGCTTGGGGGAGGAGGGTCGGCCATGGCCGTTGGCCAGGAGGATGTGGCTGGGCCTTACCCCCCGCTGTGCCCCAGCTGGAAGCCTGTCCCTTCTGCCAGTCCCCGTCTCTCTCCCTCATGCTGCCGGCCAAGCCCTGCCCGGAACCAAACCCTGTACCTGCCCAGTTTGGGGTTTACAGTGTCTCATTCGGTGGCATCTTACTGGTGATCTCTCCTGCCCCGTCTCCCCTCCTTGTGAAATAAACACACCTCCCAGCTCAGCCTGGTTTGCTTCTTGATTCTTCCAGAGGCCGGGCAGGGGGGCAGTTCCTGGGATGTGGCGGGGGGCTTCCGGTTTGGGAGTTTGGTCTTTTTAAAGGCAAAGAGCGTTCACTTCGTGGGGCCAAGACACAGCCAGCCTGCCCTTGCCCTCGCCTCCCCCCACACAGGACAGAACCTTACACGTGGCACCTGCTTGCTCACCCCCTTGGGGGCCCCAGGCTAGGAGGGCCAGGTAGGTGCAGAAAGCCGTGAGGAAGAGGAGGGACACAGGCGACCCCGCCGAGTGTCCTGACCCGCCCCTTCCTGCTGCCGGCAGCCACTTCCATCTCTGGAGACCAGGGAGCCTGTGGTGGGAGCACCTGCCCCTTCTGTTCACAGGAAAAGGGAAATCCAAATAGACAGCAGGCTTTCTGCCCCGGAAATGGACAGATGTCCCCTCAGCGGGGACAGCCTCACACCGGTTCCCTCCCAGGAAGCCAAGGCGATCCGGCTTGGTCGGTGTCACCAACCCCCAGACGGGCATCAGTTGCCATTTTGGGGGATTCTGAGAATCGGGGTCCGTGAACACGATGATGGGAAGTCCTCCTGTTTGGCAATGAGGAGTTCACCAACTTCAATAGCAGGGTCTCAGGGTTACTCTTAAGTGAGAGGAGCCCAGGGTCTCAGGCTCCCTTGGGGGTCAAAGGAGGCGTTGAGATGATGTTCGAAGGTGATGCTTTGGGGAGGGGTCCTGCCCCGAGTGAGCCATTCTCCTGTGTGGGGCTTAAGGTAGATGCTCACAGCACTGTTTTTACCATTGGCTGAGGCTTTGAGCCCCAATCCCAGCGAGGTCCCTGGTGGGCCCCTGTCTCGCCTACATCCAAACAGCCCCAGACCAGAGAAGCCACAAGACCTGCTCTGTTTTCCCCAACATCCAAGCTCACATCCCCTCTGATGGAATTGGAGCCCCCACCCTCTGACTTGCTCCCTGCACTTGGGGCTCATCTGTACCCGCAAGGCTGCACCCTAGAATACAGACAGCAGGAAGCATCCTGGAACTTTCGAGAGAGAATTGCTCCTCTTCCTCAGGGCCCCAAGGCAGCAGGTGGGATGGTGGGTTCGCTTGTTTACCTGGAGGGACAGGATTGCTGGTGTAGGGCCGTGGGAGGCTCTTAGCCTCCGGGGACCAGTACCCGTGCTCCAAATCCCGGCTCTGGCCCTTGTTTCCAGTGTCCAGGAGACCTGGGCTGTCCATTCACATCGGCACTGCTGCTTCCCAATGGCCAGAACAGGAGGCCAGCATCCAGGTCAGCATCTTCTTTGCCCCACAGCATCCCAGGGGACCTGAAGGCATGGGGGTGGCAGGCCAGCGGCCAAGGCAGAGAAGAGGAGTTAACTGTAGCCAGAGAGGGAGGAGAGAAAAGGGGAAGTGGGGCCTTGGGGGCGCCTTGGGTCTCAGTGCTTTGGGAGAATTTGGAAGTTCCAGAGACCTGTCTCTGCACGATGACTGCCGGCAGCAAGCCCCAGGCATCGGGCTTGAGTTCTGACGATCTCTGTGCATCACCCGCTACCCATACAGTCCCCCCACGCCCCGGTCTGGTGGCTGTTTTTTCTCTTTAATTTTTTACCTCCTTAATTTTATAGCCAAAAAGAATCACAGATGGTATATCTGATACATGCCCAAGCCATCAACGCTGACATCTTTGAATGTTTTATTTCCCTGGTGTGTTCTTTACACTGATTCTGGTGGCTAGAGTAGAAAAAACAGAAGGAACTGAGAAAGCACAATTTGGGCCAGAAGCCACCATCTTAAGTCACTCCAAGCCCTTGTCTTGAGTTTCTGAAGCCATTTTTTTTTTATCTGATTTTTTTTTCCCACTATTCTCGAAAAGTATCCCCATTTCACAAAGGGCAGAGGTCAGGCCAGGGCAGAGCAGGCGATGCCCCCAGGCTGTCCACAAAAAGGGTTGGCCCTGACTTGCATGCTATTTTGCCTCCTTCTACTTTGATTTTGAGGGCTGCTCTGAGGAAGGCTGAGTGACAGCCAGCCCAGGGGTAGGATCGGGAGGGGCTCAGAGCCTGCACGGGGAACCCAGTGGTCCAGGCAGTCTGTGGGCAGCCAGGGGGCCAGAC